AGACCCTTCGTAACTTCAATAACTTCTTCATGATCTTCGGATACCGACTCGTTGAAGTAGTAATACGGCGTATCAACCTCTTCAATGCCAAGGCAATTTTCAGAAAGAACTCCATGAGTCTCATTTCATCTTCTTTGCCTTGACATGACAAAATTATAATTTCTTTTAGGTGATCCCAGAACGTAGACGACAAATTAGTTGCCCATGATTCTTGGTGAGGGTTCAAAAGATCGCTCCTACCAGAGAATTCCTGATCATAAAATACAAAATTACCAAACATAAGAAACTAAATATATTGTCAGATAGAAAAACTCGTATAGTCTCATACCTTAACAGCAACATAAAATACAAAATATGTTAAGATATTTTAGAATTTTCAAGGTTGTATTTTGGGAAACAAGGATCCACATCCATAAACATTGTGAAGCGCCAACCTGTAAAAGAAAGGAAAATTGTACTTAGTTGTATAATCAGGAAAATCCATTAATGAGAAATTTAGGAGTAATTCACATATATATTATTTAACATAAAAGGTCGTAAAGACACGATCAGCATTGGCAAGAGCCTATTACAAAGCCTTGTGGACAGAATATTGCTGGATATTTGAAGAGACTGAACATTCTTTAACACATTCAACGAACCGAATGATATCTTAACATCAAGAGGTTCTCCGTTATGACAAATAACAGCTTCAGTAAGAGACTTCACATCTCGAAATTCATATGAGTCAATTCACAAAAAAAGTTTTTGAAGTAGGTCATTCTTGGAGCATCAACCACAAGTCGAATTATCACACTTGATGAGCAAAATTGACATACGATTAATAGTCAGTTTCTTCAGTGAAGAATTCGAAACACAGAATATGTGACATACAACCCTTAAAGAACATGATTGCAAAACCAAATCATCGAGAATGGGGCAGCTAGAAAACAGCCTTTAACTATTGTCTGAAAATGCAAATCCCTTGAGATGAAAAACCTTAACACTTGGGAGGCAGACACTTTCGGGGACTTTAATATCATAAGATTGCAAGGGAAAATCCATTTTCAGAATCACCAGTGTCTTACAAGAAAACAAACTATTTGGAAGTGACAGACCATCAGATGTCTCATCTTCAAAGCATAAATCAAGCTCTTGAACATTACAAGAAACAAGAGCCCGTATCCACCCATCAATACACAAAGGTTGTGTTTGGGCAGCTTCACAGGCTCTAGCACTATTAAGTTGATCACGAGTTGACCAACAAGGGGACTGCAAAACAGACCCGGAGGTTATCCTTAAGTAAATACTCTGACGTTCAAGTTAACAATATTCTATACTTAAGACTCTTTTTAAAGAAAGAGAAGCATAATAGAGAGAGGAGCTCCCGAAAAGTCCCTTACCTTTAAAAGGTGTGGGGTATTTATAAGCTCCTTAAGAGTGCTTTACACATGTTGCATTTCTTGTGGTTCCTTTGGATTCATTTGAGTGTATACGAGTTCTATAATGACTCATGCATGTGCTCCTTTGTATTTTACCCTCATGGGCATTACTGACTAGTTAGATTACTATCCCAACAGGTTGGATGCCTTTGCACTTGAGACAAAATCTTAATATAGACAGTTTCTCAAAGAAGAAAAATACTCGGTTGACACGATTCATGAACTCAACCACCTCTTGCTCATCAGCAGCATCAAACTCAAAGTGTAGATTAGAAATGAAAGTGAAAAGATACCTCCACCTTCTATGTCATTTGAGTTATGTTATCTTCAAGAGATGGGTTTTAAGTATGAATAAAATAAAACCACCTAGGTCATGTTTGATAGGTGTAAATGGTAATCAGTTGGTTAAATTATAAAAACAATGTAAAATTAAGAGACTTCCCAGACAAGTTTGGAAATAAAAGGGATTAAGGGGGAAGATTTTCTTCAAAATTAACAGATTTGCATTGTTTAGCCATTCCCAGTTGCCATTCTTTGGTGTCGTTTGGTATGTGGAAATTTCTTCTTTAGACAAATGCAACCCTGTGCAGTGTCCTAAGCAAGGAAGTCAATATTGTACCATATTGGCTGGTATGGTCGTACATATCGGTTTTTATATTAAACCGAAATGATACATGATCTAATTTCGTTTCGATCAAATTTTGTTGGTATATCGGTCGGTATTTCAACTTATCAATTGGTACAATTCAATTCAAATTTAAAAAGAGTAAATTTCATTTTTGATCTACAACTTTAATGTTTTATATAATTTTCATCATTTAACATTTTTATGTACTTTTTTAGTCCATTCTTCATATTTTTCTTAGTCCCTCTATCAATTACTCTGTTAGATTTGTCTAAATACATACATTTTTAATCCCTTAATTTAAAATGGATGGACGAAAAATATGCATATATTAGAAGTTAAGGGATTAAAAATGATCATTTTAAACTTATTTTCAATTTATAAGAATATAATGGTTTTAAATATTAGTATTT